CCTCCCCTCACACACATAAATACAAAAAACAAAGTGGTTGGCGAATATACTTGCGGTAAGCAAACACAGACAGGTAGGGGTGTGTGAAAGGTGCAGTGGAGACAAACAGGGGAGTTGAATGGGGGTGGGAAAGTTTGAACTGAAATTGGGTGTAGAACATGAACATAAATTGATTATAATTGTGGTAAATTGATTATAATGGTTTGTATTGATTTAAAAAATATTATGATTATAATTCATTTTAAATGATCATAATAGATTATTTTGTAAATTTATAGATACTGCACATATTATGACAATATAGTCGATTATGATCAATCGGCGCTCGGTGCGGGAAATAGTAATTTGTTATTGATAAAAACATAATAAGAGTCACCACGCTGTAGAAAAAAAAGAGTTAAAGCGTGATGTTTTTCGATAAGTTTTCTGTATTTAAATAATTTTTAATTCTAATTTTGGAATTGTTAATGAGATTAACAAAACTTATCTTCTTTCAGTTTTATTGATAATGAATGTTGCCAAAACATGCTGCGCTGTTAGCTTGTTTTTAGACTTACCATGAAAAACTATATAATGCTTTGAACGTTTTATCTCTCTGTCTGAAGCCTAGAGAACCATTCCGCATCCAGTTTCAAGCGTTAATAATCGATTATATTACGATCTTAGTACCAGTCTCACTAAAATTGAGAAACAATAGATTTTAATCAATTATTAATCGATTATAATCTTTCTTTTTAAAATCAAATTATAATTAATTATAATCCATTATAATCGATTATAATCAATTATAATCGATTATTTATTCGTCTATTTTTCGATACAATTATAGTCGATTATAATTGATTATAATCCATTATTTTGATTCAACTTTCTATTTCATTAGTTTTGCACAAAAATTCATTATAATCGATTATAATTGATTATATTTCCTTTTGGTTTGTCCATTTTTGTCTTCGAAGTCGCATCTAAATTGCTTATATTTTATGCTTTTTGTGGACATTGGTTACTATGAAAAATGAGAAAAATATTTTTAAAGTTTTTCAATTAATTCAAAGTTATACGTTTTTTCTTTCATTTCTTCCCCATTAGAGTTGTTTTGTGTTGCGTATTTTAAGCTTTTCTAAACACCAAAGCATCAACAAAATGATTTAGAAAAAATCCCTTAAAGACCTAATTTTGGTAATTATAATCGATTATAATTGTCAAAAAAATCATCATAATAATCCGTTATAATCGATTATTTACGCCTAAACTTGGATGCGGGATTACATGTCAAACTCTGCAATGGATAGGCGCACAAATCTTTTTACACCCAGTTGGGTCTCATAATGACGTCATTGGACACTATTCAACATAATTCTGATGATTACTTACGATGTCATCCACTCTATCATGGCTTCCCGCTCGGCGCCCTCCACGTCCACCTACAATCAGTGGTAGATACAAAAAGAACACTATAGTATGAAAATACATTTTTGAGGTAATTTGGACGAATTCAAAATGTGACATATCAATGAAATTCTTGGTATAGAAATAATCTTGCATTTTTTTCTAAGGTTACAATTGAGAGGTTTTAAAGTTTTTTTCCCTAATGTTTTTATTGAAAGTTTTCAGAGGTTTTCTAACGTTACAACTGAACATTTGCATATTTTTATCTTATTTCTACAACTGAAATAATTTATTAATTACAGATGTTCGAAGCAAATTGAAATTGAGCTAACATCGATTGCATGAAAAGCACTTTGAATTTTAAATAATTTTCTTAGTCTGTTATAAAAAACTGTTTTTTTTAATTGGATCTATCTAGTTCAAATCTCTCAATTTAACATCACAATAAACTTTGAATAACATTTAATACTTGTACTGATAAGAAATGTATTGCAATCGTTTTATACAGATAATGTACCGAAGACCTAGAAAAATCTGTTTGAATTGATTTAAATCGATGTAGTTTCATACAAAATAGTAGTTTAAAAAATAATTTCAATCAATTCTAAATCAATTTAAATTCAATTTTTTCAACCATTTTTGTCATTTTTTATTTGGTTTCATTCTTGTTCATGCAATTATTTTTAACAACAAAATATAATTGAAATTGAGTCATTTTCTTCCGTAAAATTCCATTATATCCACTCTAAATTGATTTACAAATCTGAATGGAATAAGTTAAATCAATTTGTTACAATTTAATTTGTATATATCGATTGAAATCTCAAGTTTATCAATGCGGTTGTTTTTGTATTAAGTTCACACAAAATTATAGTGACCCAACATTTTTTTTAGGATCTTATCCAAATAATAATGGTGCAATTCCTTCAGCTGAGATCTTTACGAGGCCAAATTGTGCACTAAATAGGCGCACATTTTTGGGTCTGTATGTTCTGGATTCCAAAGACAAGTCTGTAAAACAAATAAGAAATTTGTCGGTACCATCAAAGAAAATGAAAGAACAGAAGAAGTCAAAGGGAGCGTTCTTGTTGCGGAATCCCCTCACAATTCACAAAAAGCGCAGTTTGGCCTCGTAATGATTAGACATCAAGCGTGAAGATTTTCCAAATAATTAATTGGCTAGTTTTTGGCCCACTTGAATTGCCAAAAGTCGAGAAATACTGCAAAAATTCTAGAAAAGTTTTATAATACAAATTGAATCTTTTTTATCGAAAAAAAAACAGAAAAAAAGTTCGAGTTCGAAGTGTTAATTTTTCAAAGTTTTACCATGTCCATTCTGGTAAACAAAGATAAATGCATTTAAACCATACTTTGTGAAATAGTTAAATCCATACTGAAAAAACTCGTTTTGGACGAAACAGTTTCACTTAGTTATATTAACTATTTTTTAAGTAAATTTATCACACTTTGTAGAAAACAGATGATATGATGTCGTCCAAGGGAAAAAAGCATTTTTGAAATGTTTTCAAATTAGATTAGGCGCAAACATTTCTTTTGAAAATTTATGTAGCTTAATAGAATTTTTAAAATTCTCTGATTGTTATTCTTTAGTCGATCTTTTTTCTGAGTAGCATTGAAGTCCATTGTTTCAAAAATACATCAAATGTTTTATCTTTTTTCAAATGCAGATCATTTTCACAGATCACCATTAGACAAAATGTCTGCTGTCAGGCCTGTAGCCCTTTCAATTTGCGCATAACCAATATCAAACTTCATCGGATGCCACCGGAGCTAAAACGCAAAACACCTGCGCGAGAAAATAACTGCGGTTTGAAAAAACAGCTGCGGTGAAAAAAAATAAGACTGTCAACACTTTTTCACAAAATCCTCTAAATGCTATGAAAGGGCAAGATGTTGTTTTCTCGTTAACTAGCGCACTGCTGAATTTCGATTGCTTGAACGTTTTTTGTAGTTTTTTGTTTTGGGCAATCAAGTTTGGCCGATTTTTTTTTACTTGTCCCTTTTTACGGCGCATTTTGTTTCTTTGAAATATGATTGATGAAGAGCAAATTTTCTGAAAATAGCATTCAGAAAATATTTTTATTAAACTTTTTGTATTCCAAAATTAATAGAAACACAACAGAATAGAAACTGCACGGTTATTTATTCAACTGCAAGTTTATTTCATGTAATTTCTTTGCGTTGTATTTTCAAAAAGTTTTCTGACCAAATTTTAACCTATCAATGTTTCAATTTGAATTTTAGAAGTTTGAGTTTAATTTATTTGAAGGTTGTCTCACAGCCACACATCTTTAACTTCATTTTCCTGTTACACAAAATTTGTAAAGTTATTCTAAGGGAACATCTGATATATGCTGCGAAGTGAATTGGATCCATATCAGGGGCGGATTTAGGGGGGGGGCGGGTTTGCGGACGCTTCTCCCTCAGGGATTTGACCCCCTGCCGACCCAAAGGGCCCCCCCTTTGATACTTTTTCAGAAATCCATTTTTGGCCTACCGATCCTAAAATTTTTCTAAAAGCGCCTTTGGCGCCAATATATACTAACTTTGAGGGGGAGCGCGCGCTAAAAAACACAATTTTTTAGTCAAAATATGCCAAAAAGTGCCCAAAAACGGTTTTTTTGACCTGTTTTTTTAAAAACCTGCCTGCGGCGCAGCAAATTTAGCCAAAATAGGGGCAAAACAGTGCTTTGGGAGAGCTCGAAAAATTAATTAGGTCGACCCAAAAAAAAGATCGTCAAAATTTTGGAAAATTTTTTGAAAATCCGGCCCCCTCGAGAAAATCCTAGATCCGCCCCTGATCCATATCATTTGAAGTGAAAAAAATATTTTGAAAAATGATTTGAAAAATATTGGCGTGAAATGCAATTGAAAAGTGGAATTTTATTAGTGACACATGTCAATATAAATTATCACGCTTTTTTACTTCAATCAAGGAATTTTCAATCAATTTTTACTTTTTTCGATTTACACTTTCATAATTACTAAGGGGCCGATCTAGAAGTTTCTCGAGGGGGGGGGGGGGGGGAGTCGACCAATTTGATTTTCTGAAGGCGACCAACTTGATTTTAGGGTCAGCCAGCAAAAAATAGAAATCTTAAAATGGTATCAAAAGTGGGACCCTTTGGATAGTCAGGGGCTAGAATCCCCGACCCTCCTAAATGCCCTCCTGTCATTCCTCTTACTTTGAGATATTGTATGATCCTGTTGGTGTGATCATTTTCGGCAATAAGAGTGCCTAAAGTTTTCAGCGTCTCACTGTTTTCCACTCCCAGTCCGATTGGTTTCCAGTGGATTTTCCGGCTATTTTTGGTGCTCGGAAGTCTCTTGATTGTGTGATCAAAAGCAAATACCTCGCATCCTATTGAAACAAAAGGAGTTTTAACAATTAAGCCAGAATAAAATCTTTCTTTCTTCCAAATACTTAGAGCAAAAATAAGGTCAAAGTTAGATCAAAGATCATCCATGGGGGAGGGGTTTTCATTAGTTTCCGTAACGAAAAGTGATCCCTATGCTTTCGGTGATCTCTTATCTTTAACAGAATATAGTTATCGGATCTTCTACACCACCATAACAGTCTACACAGTCTATAACAGTCACCATAACCTTCTACTTCAAACATAACATTGTAACCAGCTGTCCAGGAAAACAGCTTTTGGTAGTAGCTGAAATGTTATATTTCTCATGCAAGAAATTTGGGCGAAGGGAGTGGGCGGAGGGGGGGGGGGGGGGTCGGGCATGGGTTATTTTTCATGCAAGAACCTTGGTATTCGGGGGAGGGGGACCAAAGAACTTGTTGCTACCAACATAGAGCCTATTTACCTTGTGCAGCTACTGCGTCTTCGAACGACAAATCATCGGATATTCCGAAAGAGTAGACCAAACAGTCTTGTTCATTTGTAGTAGATTTTGGATGGAAATCATCTGCGCATACATACTTGTGGCCATCCCATGATCTCCATCCAGCTGCCTTTATGAGGGGGAAATTGCCTGTTCCTGACAAAAAGAAACTGTATTTTAGCTGAGCAGTAAATGCAGCAACGGATATAGCAGAAATACAGTTTTCAAAAGAGGAAAAAACAGTTGAGTATTGTTTTCAAAAGAGGATAGCTGAGCAAAATTTTCATAAATGGAAAAAAAAGTTGTTTTCTTTCAGTTTTTTTTGTAGGGTTGAGCTGTGAAATAATTATTCGACCAAGTGTAAACATTTTTTTACATATGTTTGTTGAAGTTGTGTTTAATGATGAAATTTTGACCATTTTTTTGTCTACTTTAAGGAGCAAGTCACGCATAAATTTTTTTTTCATTTGTCCTCCGTCCTCCATAGATTCAATTTTTTAGTGAAACGAGATATTTTGCAGGTTCAAATATGACGACCGATTATGTTTGTCGTAACCTAATTAGTAGCATGTCAATTTTTGTAACAATGGGACCATGTGAACAGAAAAGTTATTCATTATGGGGCCAAATTCTGCATCATAAGAATTGTACGCGGTTTACACAATAGGCCAAACTCAGATTTGTCGCAGAATCAGCAAAATTGCTATTTTTATCTGATCTTATTTGTTGCTTTCGATTCCACGGAAACATAGCTAAAACAGTGTTTGCTGAAAAATGCTCCAAAACAGGCAGTTTCGCGGCAACAAAAATTAAAGAATCCGCCAAAAATATTTGCGGAACCCGGAACAGTGTGTGAAATCCATGAACAAATTTAAATAAGCATGGGAAACTTAAGCTGTCGTGGAATCCGCAGTGTAGATGCAATCCGCAAAGTGTGAGCGGAATCTGCACATTGTAAACAAACTTCGCAAATTGTCAGCGGAATACGCATAAGTTTGCAAAATCCACTTAAAATTGCGGAGTCCGGAACACTATCTAATATAGCTTGTTGGGGAATCCGCAACAAAACTAATATACCGACAAAATTTACGTTACAGGTATTTGTACGCAGAATCCACGGGAATTTTTTTAGGTGGAATCCACTCACAGTTTGGAGCATCTCCGGACTTCAGGAGCACAAAATTTTGTAGGTGGAATCCAATTACATTTTGGAACCACTCTGGAAGCAAGGAACACAGAAATGTGCGCCTATCCAGAGCTCAGTTTGGCTTCGTAATGTTTATAAAAAGTTGTAAGTGAGGGGGGATCGTTTCGCTTCTAACCGGGTTGGCCTCCATACATTTCCATATACTAATTTTTTTTAAACAGAACTTCATCCAAAATTCTCTAAGTTTTGCTAAGAAGTTCTAATTGATATTTAACTTTTAAAAGAATTTGTCGAAAGTATACATATCAAACAACTTCCATAAGAATGACACTAAGTTTCAGTAAAATGTCGAAAACCGAAAAGGTGCCAAAGCCTGTTTTGTGTTTTGTTCAAGCGCAATACGAATTTTCTAGCCAAACGAACTTCTTACAAGAAAAAATTGTTCGCAAAACTTTTTGTGCGTGCAAAACTTAAACATGTATACACAAAACTTACATTATGTTTTATGTTTTAATGTATACACAAAACTGAGTTAAGGATTCTCAAACACTCAAAAAATTTTAATGATTTATTTTGCCTTGCTTGTGTAACTCTGGCTATGTTTGAGTGTTTCAACGTTTCAAAATCAAAAAACTAGCTTAAATGAAAAATTTCGCAAGAACTTAGAGTGCTGGTTTTTTCATACTGTTGTTTGTGTGAGTTGTCTACGTTCAGTTTGCTTCCAATCTTTCTTAATGCCAGACCATTTAGCGATTTTAGCTTGAATTAACCAGAATTTTTGTCACTTGTTTTCGGCTAAAAACACAACCCTGAATTTTTGAGTAGAATTGAGAGAAAAGCAAAGAAAAACTATTTTTCTTTTTATGGAAAGAAGCTAGCCAAAAAATTTGAAAACATGAAAAATTACTTATCTTGGATCTTTTATAGAAATTTCTGTTTTTATCTGATTGCTTGAAACTTGCATGGCGTTTTTTCCTATTTATGATTTTTCTACATTTTTTTTGGTTAAACCGGGCACACACAATTTTTGCACAGAATTATCAATTCTACGGTGAAAATTTCAATTTTACCTACAATTATTGGTCTTATGAGACAAATTTGAGTATTGCAGCCGCGTACCAATTTTCTTTACAACTGAACAACATGGACAATCGTTAGAAACATAGAAGAAGCATTTCCGGTGAAACGACAGAAGAGCACAGATGAAATCGAGCTTCTCTGATCAACCTCTTGGCAAAATTTTGTGGAAGCTTTTCGGTGGAAGCTGAGGTTTTATTTATGAGCTTTTTAAACATCAGGTACATGTAGATTAGACGAATCATGTTATTATCCTTCCCAAGTAGATAAGGTTAAGATACTCTACCCCAGCTTTCAAACCAAATTATATTTGCTAAGCTCTGCGTGTAAAAATCGTTTTTCTGATTGGCTGAAAATCCAAACTCAGAACTAAGTTAAAATCATCCTTCTAAACAGTTTCGAGTCGAAGATGTTAACTTGGTCAGATTACACGTCATCTGTTTTTCAGTCTCACCAAAGAGGCAGGGGAAAATTAAGAAGAATTGATCTTGGCTCTTTTTACTTTTCCCCCAGAAGCGAATTTTGATTACTAACTTTTTGGTTAACATTATCTGATTGATACAAAAATGGTCTGTAGGTTGCTTAGGCCACACTAACTATGATAAGTTTTCATTTTTAGCGTTTTAAAAGCCTACGTAACACCATAAAAAGGATGCTAATGTCAGAAGCCGAAAGCCAAGATTTTTTCCGGTGGCTTAACCTGATCCGGGATCAATTGTAATTTTGTGTCCTTCTGTGGTTTTCAATACCAATCGAATCTGGTAGCATGCTAGTTCAATTCAAGAATGCTGATCTGATGCTCATAAAAGATGGGAGACAGTCACTTACTATCAAACACTGGGCAATGCGTGTAGGTTTAGAGGATTTGCTTTCTAGCGGTCCGTTTTTCTCTTACTTATTGGCATCACAAAATGGTCCCCTGAGTACTGAATAAAGATAAGAGATTCACTACTATCTACACTCCCGAAAGGGTTAAGTTGTTGGTAATTATTCTGTACTGTACTATGTTATTTGATCCCTTTTTTACGGATCCTATGGCTCTATCGTCCGCTCTGGTGGCGTCCCTCATGCTGGAGGGACTGAGTGCTTGAAATTTATTTTGGCTTATTGTCAGCCAATCAGAATTGAGTTTTCAAAAATCTCAGGGAAACCTCAAAAATCTCAAAGTAAATCTCAAATAAACTCAGGCCATTAGTGTTAATTTTGACCGATTAGATAATATGCAATCAATTAAAATATTCCCGGATCGAACGCGGATTGGAACAATTTTTTTATTTTAAAGATACTGATTTATGAAAATGAGAAAAAATACTCAACTTATTATATCTGAACCTACTATATCTACACCTAATATAATATATTATTGTTTTCAAATAATATCAATTTCGATTTTGTGAGAAAAGCCTTTAGACAATAAGAACGCGTAGCGATGCTGATTGGTTGAAATTTTTCTACCAGTCGGTCCATCCAACATGAGAACCCTCACCGTCTGCTCTCACGAGCGCAAAAATTTCCAATAGTGACCAAAATCAGTTAATTAAAAGTCCACATTCAGAGGGCTCTTATATTATCTAGAAATCTCATTTAAAAAGTTTGCGATTTCTCAACACAAATGCTACTTGCATTTCAGCTCAATAGCACGCTCTCCCGAGAGAACTCAAATCGTTTATTTCTCGATCACCGAGAAACTCGTTATTCTCGATAACCTGACTACTTTCACTTACTAACTAACTGTGAAAATCAATTAGTCTCACTTTCAGAAAAAGTGTCGCACTTGCTGAAAGACTTTTTTCTCTAACTTGCTCAGTTGTTCTCACTCACTGTGAGATCCAACTCTTTCTAACTCGGTACTATTTTTTCTGCTTGTTGTTCTTTATTACGTAACGTCTCAAAGACTTTGTTTAAATATCCCGACAACGTTCCGGCCATTTAAGCCAAAAGGCTGCGTCCAGCGATGTGAGAACAAAATTTCGTACAATAAAAATATTCAGGCGACTTAAAACCCATGATGAGCTCCTACTACTGCCAATTTCTTCTAGGACAATTTTTCTTTGGTCTAGTTGAATTGCTAATAATTTCCAAGAGTCGACCTGGGGAATACGCCTCTTTTGGGGGTTAATCCCGTGGTTTTAAATGCAAGTTTGGCCTTAAAAACTTAAGAGTCAAAAAATGGTCAACCCTTGGTCACCGGGGTCACTCTACTATAGTCCGGATGAAAGTCCTGTCACGGTTCTGTGTTACAAGTTTCGTCCATATCCTATTAAAAGCTCCCAAGCTGTCCCTTTTCTAAATTCCTTTTCTCTGTCAAAAGTCTGCTTAGACTTGAAGGAGTCGCCAGTTTCTCTCGGGGTTGGTATTGAATGTCTATTGCCGCCATAAAACCAATATGCAGTCTAAAATTGTTGCGTAAATTGCCCATTTCCGATCTGGGCAATTTCCGGTCAAACAGTCTGTTTTTGGCTCAAAATCAGATTCATGATGTAAATTGTCACTACCCATCATATCTCAAAAATTTGGTTCGCTGCATTCATTGGGGAACGAAAAACGACTTTCGAAAGTCCCTCCTGGGCAGTAACACCGGAAGTAGGTATTCAAGTTGCTGGCGTTTTAAACGTAAGCTTCCCTCAACTAGGCTGATATAATTATTTTCCGTTCCGACCGCCAGATCTTGAGTTCTATCATGATAAATTACGCTTCCGGGAACTGTTTATTAGCTTTCACATTCTTGCATAATGAATACACGCCTTGCAAAAAGAACTCTTAGCCTTCCACGAGGCTAAATCAGAGGGCAGCGTCAATTTTCTTTAAATCTTTTTAAAGAACAGCTGATGGTGTTTCGGCGTAAGGCTTCACCTTATTTATTTAAATCACAAGGTTTTTACCAAAGAAAGGTAAAACTGTTCTGGCCAATCAAAGTTTAACCTTTGTTTTA